TACGATGCACTTTATTAATAGATGGACGAGCTGCTTTCGACGGCGCAGTGCTCTTGACGTCAACGCGATTCGAAACATGAGTAATCGAAGGTGAACTGTTGAAGCAGCTGATGAAAATTTTCCGCTCCCTTTTCTGGAAATAAAGATGTGCAGTATCGATGAGTGATTGAGCTTGCCTCGTATCAAGGTAATTAATTCCACTTCTTTTTAATTTCTTACAATTTTAATATCAGAGCACTTGAATAACGCCTAATACTTAATTATACCATACCTTTATATTTAAAATAAATTTCTACTCTTTGTTTCGTGGAATTAATAAACTTTACAAATCGACAGCTGAATTATTCCTAGATAATCGTCTTAAATACAATTGATTCCTTTGTAATTCGATAATCAGTTCATTTTCTAATTTTCTATTATCACGATGATATACATACAGGTCATGTATAGTTGCATAACTCGATTTTATTCTGCCCCAATTTTTTCTAACACTATTACCAATTTCAATGCGATAAGATGAAGTCATAGCGACACAGTCTCTATCAATTCCTTCATTGAAGAAAACTCTACCACGTATCTCTATCCTCTATAAATGGTGTTGTCATGCAACTAATGAATAATTTATAGAGCAAGTCGTCTCGATCAATTCACCGGCGCTGTTATGTAAAACTGTCAGATGCTGCCTTGAGATCAAACCACCGGACAAGCTTCTAATTTCAATGTCTATCACGCGAATCTTCTGATCCAGAATCGATCCAAATCCGCCTCACTAAAGCTGCCCAAAAATTTCAAAAAATCGCGAGTTCTTTACGTCTCCAAACACTCTTTGATAACTCGAAGTCTCAGTGGTTCGAGGTCTGACAATTGATAGATCAGACATATCTATTGCCTAGAGATATTTGCATTTTCCCTCGGTAAGAGATTTTCACGTAAAAATTCACCATATCTAGGGAAAATGGAGAGCCAACGATTTCCGATTGACTATCGAAGCAGAAGACTTTAAGGATCATATCTTGGCAACCATGGACCGAATCAATTAAAGGTAAAATGCGAGGCATCGTCGGCAGAAAGAGCATAATGGCCGTCGATAACGAAGCCACGTGCGAAAATAGAGTGGCTTATAAACACACCGCTAAAATTCTATCAATGGTATGTTTTATCGACTATTTCTTTGCTCGCTTTATGGCGATAGGAATAAAATCGTTTTATGTCTCTATCGCGATAATAAAGCCATCTTGAACTCTATTAAAACGTACGAAATACGAGTCGAAGAGAAGAAACGTTTCCGAACGTGGTAAAAGTCGATCCTTGTAAATATCCTCGACGATAACGCGAAAGTAGACGCGATATTTCATTACCCGCGAGCTTTTCCTCTGAATTGTTCGCGCTAACAGGATAGAAGCTTTCGAAATTCCCTCATTCGTGAGATATCGAGTTAAAAAGGTCGTGGATGTAAAGAAAAATCGGTTTCTATTCTGGAAATAATTTCACGAAGAATTCTTACATACGAAACAACGGGACGATACGAAAAGCGATACTGAAAAATTTCTTTTTATTTTCCCGCCAAGAATATTTGAAAATTCTCTCTTCCACGAGATATTTTAATTAAAGACGTCGCTTTTAATTAAAAATGTTGACGAAAAATCGGATCGTATTCCGATCATCTATGTAGAAGCTTCTACGTATAGAACAATGCAAGGACTGCTGTTTTGGAAAATTTTTATCAATTTTCCAGCCAACGAAATTCACGTTTGCCTCGTAGTATGATGCAATTACGCGCGTATCAACATACATCAGAGAGCCTCCTGTTAATGAGGAATCAGGTTCGAATATTCTCTCTGATACCGACATTTCTGACAACGTTCGCTATCTGCAAAGTGAACTGACCATACTTCGTCGATGTCATAATTAATGGAACACACAGAGGATCGGTGAATCTCGTTAATTGTATCGGTGATCAACGTCTATCATCGTTCAGCTAAAACAGTCCTCGACTTACCAAACAATGAGGATTCCAATTTTCGGGAAATTGTTTTGCAAAATATCGGTTTCGCCTCGGTGAATTAATTAAATTCCTTAGTTTATTAAATGAACCTAAACTCCGATAATAAACTATGATAACCATGATTGGTTCTTGGGTCGAGGTTCGAATAAATTAACATATGAAATCAACGTTAATTTAACTCACTATCATCCAACTGATTAAACATTAAACGAAACTATTTCTTTTTAATAATTGGTTGACGATGAAAATAGCTGCAAATGAAATTGAAGAAAAGAAAAATCAAAATAAATTTAGAGAAAAATCCTAGTTACGTCCACTGGTACCTTTCTCATGGCGTCGTCCAATCCGACGTCAGGGTCGAAACATCGCGTAAGCTCGATCGAAATGAGCAACTGAACGGAAACGTACTTGTTAAAGATTCATAAGATTGTTATAACGCGATCACGGTGAGCGTAATATCCTTAAGTGCCATGTTGGGGAACACGAACGACGGAGAATGAAAGCACGGCATGAAAGATGCAAACGGCGCGAGAACGATAGTAACGCATCCCGTATTCATACTTATGCTAGTGTCTAAGTATCATGAATGAAGACGTGCTTGCTCGTTATCGTTCCATCTCGTACAACTTCGTCGCTTTATTCGTTCAAACAGCCGCACCTTTATAGTAAACATCCTTTTTACACGACATTAAGCTCGAACATCGTAAAATCTAATTTTATTCATACTGACTCATCTAGAAATTATTCTTCCATTTTACCGATAGTCAAACTGTTATTTTAATCGATCATCGAATAATAAAGCGACCGAATAACATTATCATTCACCGATGTTCTATGATAATCCAGAAATTATTTTATTTCGCGAGATACCAATTCGTCAATGGAAATATCATTGATCTTTTCATGACAACGGTTTCGCACTGCAACTCCAGTGTAACGATGCAGGCTATAGGTAACGAATAGTCAATACCGTGTGAAATAAAAATAAATTTAGGATATCCAAATCTTCCAATGAAGAATATCGATTAATGATACAATGATAAAAATTCTAGTTATGTGTCATTTTCTATCACAATTTCTCCGATTCTCGAACCATATTGGAGCATTATACGAAGGATGACTGTACATGTAAAATAATTTATCGGAAATAATACATTTTTGCGAGGCAAAAAGGCTATGGGAATCTTTGACTATCACGTTGATATATTTATATCATTTTATTTGAAGATTTGTAGCTCGATAATTTAAGAATGCAAATTCCAGTATACCGCGTGACGTTATAACTCGCGGAAACGCGACATTTACGATCCTCGAACGAATTTACGATGACACGTTCCATTTTAATGCGAAAGCTGTAACGAGATACGTTCATCGCACCGATAACGATACTTTCTGGACGTTCTTTCGCAAATTTACATTCGTATTAATTGTAGCTCCCGATTTAAAATCCGGCGGAAATAACCCCCGTCGCGACCAGGATATGATCGCCGAGAAAATTAACATCTGGAGAAACTCCATCTTGGAGAACATTCCATTACTCCACGTGGTATGTTTCTATTATCCTTTCATTAGATCGAATCGATTTCACGTTGCTTGTAATCGGTTTTCATCGACGGCGAAGCTGCTATTTTACCAATTACGACCTATCGACTTTTTATTAGATTCCTGCTCTGGTACGTTTTAATCGAGCCATTCCATCGGATTGGGAATTTTCGAGAAATTCGAGACTACGTGGAAAATATTGATATTTCTCTGAACGATGCTGGTAAATCGTGATTATATGGATAGAAGTGGAATTCGAGGAAATATAAATCGGAATATCGAAATTAGAATATCTCCTGTTGTATATTATTTTTCTCTTTTATTTTGAGCAGAGGAATTAGTCAGGTTTAAATTCCGATTTACCTTGAAGTTTATAAAAAACGACGGGAACGTATTGGAAAAATAGTAGGTCTTGACGACATGACACGTCGTTTTTCATTTCAAAGAGACTCATTTTTCAACTAGATTCTCCTTTGTTTATGTTTTCTATGATTACCATATTCATAAAATAAGCACGTGATCCTTTTGTGTTTCGCGTAAAGAATATATGTATATTTTTCGCAAATACAGGCTTGAAATTTTCAATTTAAAACAGAGTTAACTAAATGGAAACCAGACGAGTTGGCTAGTCGACGCCATGTCGGTCTCGTAATGTAATTTCTAATTTTTCTGTTCCGTTGCACCTTCGTTTTTCACCCTTTTCGTCTATCCTCGGATCAATTTATTTCCGTTCCGTGTGTCTTCCTTATTTTTTAACGGTATCGCCATTTCCGCGCTAGTTATCGATGCTCTTAATCAAAAAGCGACGAGATCGGAGCACTACTCTAATTATAAGTTTCTTTCGTTCTTTCATTTCCCCGCGAAACTCGTGGTACTTTGACAACGTTAATTTTGTCATACGTGTACCTTTATGGACAAAATGATAAATTCGAATAGGAGAAAAATAAAATGGAATAAAGAATTAAAAATTAATATAAAATTGCCCAGACATTATGTCGATATTATTTCAATTAAAAAATAATAATTGCACCACGAGACTAAAAATTTTCGAAAACTATCTCCTCGCTTCCTTCATTACGCTATTAAATTAATTAATCCAGTGTAAACGATTCATCCTAAACACCGCGAATGTCTACGAAATGATACTGCTATTCCTGTTTCAAACTACGAAACGACTACACCCAAACTCCTGCAATACGATTAACGCAATCTGCATTAATTTAACAGCTGCTGGTAATTCACGGTTTATTTGATTTACGTACAGAACCGCGCACGTTCTGTTCCGCCATTGCCCGGCATGTAATACCAGCATTCTGAACATTAATACTCGACCGCAATGGAATAATTGCAAACTCGATCTTGTAAGAAAACTGACTCGAATATTCTTAACTACTATACACAGAAGACAACACGAATGAACGTAATGATTTTGTCGAATAAAATATCTACTTACCTCAGTTTGTATGTCCATATTCACCATCCTTAGTGAAACGGAAGTCTTTCAACTATGGCGGCCTCTGCAACAAAGAAAAATTTGTTAAACGTATCGGATATATTAGGAAATTTGATTTCTTAAATCAATAAATTATCAGTAATTTATATTTACAAAACTATGGCTGTGTTTAATCGCTTCTTATACGCTTGAAGTTCTAATGGCGCGTGCCATAATCAACAGCAAGGTCGGTCACAGCTCGCGCCATCACGTCCGAACACGTCGAAGAATAACACACAACTGATACAGAAAGACATCGGCGAGAATGTCGGACACACGTCAAGCTATTTTTCGTCCGAACATATCAAAGAATAACATAACTGAGATAGGAAGACATCAGCGAAAATGGACTACGAGTCTAACCAATGTTGTTTACATTGAGCCTTGTCTACGAACCATAGCTCCCAATCATAACACTTCTGTTTGGCTCGATTTTCTTATCACGAGTCTCACACGACATTTTAGACGAAGGAGTTAATAACGATCAAAAACATAAATTACAAACTTAGGTGTATTTGATACAAACAACCCAAAAATGAATCTTCGAATCGATTCAAAGTTCTAAGAAAGATAATTACCTTCCCAATTTAAATACTCAGTGTCACTATAACTTGCATTTAAGTTTGCATTTATGATGAAAATGATAATTTCAAGCATTCCTGGGAAAGTAAGTGTAACTGCAGTATGATACCATTAGAACGTATATATTATACATTCTGTCCATTTTGCTATGCTCCATCTTGCTCTCCGATACATCACGAAGCACCCAATATACTCGCTTATGCATTTCATTGTTCGCCGCAATGTAGGAACCAATTGGCGTGAACGGAAGCGCAGCTGAAATACGAGCGACATGGATTATGTTAAAGAGATTAACGAAGGACTAATCCTTGATACCTCCGCCTCAACTTCCTCCATAAATTTAACGAAATCAAACTTCCCGTGCCGTTGAATCCCGTTTAATTCTAAACCATTTACACTACGATTATTAAATATCGGTAAAGGCAGAAATCACGAGCGAAAATTGAATCGAAACCTGGCCGATAAATCGGCTAACGCGTTTCCACTTCTGTGTAATCTGGATAAAAGTTCAGCCAATCATAAACAGTCTTTTCGAACGAAAGACTTAATCCCGTTCTCGACTCCCATTGTTACGGAAATACACGTTCGCCATTGTAGGGTTTATTAGCGATGTTATTACTGGCATTAACGTTAATACTCGCACATGGCGTTTGCGTTGGATAGAGTTGCCAAAGTCGGGCGATCAGTCCGAAACTTAATCAAACTTTCGAATACGCGCCAAAATTGAATTGCGCCTTATAATGTTCGTTGCTTCGCGGTTTCCGTAAATGGACGAGGGCACGAACGTGTAATAAGTGTGTTAGAGAATAAATTTGGTGGAAATTTCAGGTGAGTTTTGCTCTCAAAGGTATTGTATATCGTGCGAAAAGTGTTAGGTTAGGTTGGAAGAAGTGAGGAGGGGGATCAGTCTAGTTTCGTGGTACCTTTGCTTTGATGGAAAATAAATTGTTTTCTTGGAAAAGAGAAGGTTTTGGAAGAAAAATCAGCATGACTGATGATATGTCAATACTGGTGGCTGAAAGCGATGCTCTGGTATGATATAACTGGAAGAAAACGACCGGGTTGCAATAGATGATAAATATATACGGATATTTCATAGGTAAACCAGTGACATGAATAATGATGCGACAGTGAATATATTTGATGTCAATGTTGATAGCTGAAAGAGGTGCTTTAACATGATATAGTTGGGGAAGGGAACGGCTTCGTTCCAATAGGTGATAAATATGTACCAATGTTCTGCGTGTTATCGATATTTTTGATAGCAATCTTCGAAAGGATGCGAAAGATACATTGAAAATTCCAAAACTTAAGAAAAATAGTTTTAGCGATATAATAATATTGAATTCTGAAATTATTATTCTTTCAGTACATTCGTATAATTTATTCAAAGCATAAAATCAAATAATATACCTACTTCGCTTGTTCCAAAAATATATTTCAACTACGCAGGGTAAAATTAAATTCCAAAATTCATAAAAATTTAAAACTTTCACAAAGAGTGATAGAAGCTATAAAAATCGTAATTAAGTTTAAAACACAGGCAGCCTCGAATTTCTGAAAAATTTTATATATGGAAAAGTATAAAATATTGGAAGCTACTAAAATTACAACTAAACCGAAAATACAAAGGGCGTCGAATTTCTGGAAAATCCTATCTATACAAGAGTATAAAAAATTCGTTTCGAATTTTACGGGAATATTCCGATAAAACGAGATCTAAAATAATTCATAAGAAACATATAACCAAAATTCGCGAAGATTATTTAGCGATAAGAATTTGAAAGAGTGAATTATATCACGTAAACCTCATCTCAGGGACGCAGCGATTTATTTTCAGAAACTGGATATTTCTTTAAATTCCAGCACACGCCGCGAAAAAGAAATCCGCTCCGATTTCACCTGTCTCCAAAGCTTCAAACGATGTTTTCAAGCTTTGTTCCCGATCGTCGTTTCGAGCCGACTTCTATCGATGCGAATCGAACCTTCAAGTTCGCATATTACCGTTTTTACAAAATGCTTCTAAATAGCACGAGCATTGAAAAGCGGAAAGGAACGAGAGATAGAACGGTCGATGATTATTATCAGGAAAAGTCTCGTCCTCTTTCACGCTGTTAAAAGCTCCCACGCTGTTAACGTAATAGCTTGCAGTATCGAGAAGATCTGTGCGACAAACAGAGTACGATAAAAATGCAAATTCGACGATTACGCGACAACAGTTCGATGGAAGCCTTAATCCGTGGACGAAGATTTATTTGGATCCAAAAAATACCTCTTTTCCTCTTCTTCGTCGAAGTTCAAAGTCGATTTGAGACTAGAGTGAATTATCAGAAAAGAAAATTCACGAGTGATATATCATTAATTTTATTTTTTAAAAATTCCTCTATTTCTTTATTATCGATTTAATAAAGGGTTGCGTAATAAGGGAATGCTCAATAATACATTGCAGAGAATAATTATATAATAATTATGAAACTGACTTCTGGGAATTATTAGTAATAAAATTGGTAATATAATTAGTAATATAATTAGTAATATAATTCTGGGTATAATATCTGGCTCGCTATGCTTTAACATATTCTGATATGCTCAAAATTTGTATTAATTCTAAAAACTCACAATTTTCTGGTATAATGGCTAATTAAAATTGAATTTTTTCCCAATTTTACAATTTTTCATAATAAATTTGTAGCCCAAGGGGTTAATGCAGTTCCTCTGTTCTTAGCGAGAAATTCGGTATAATTTGTATAAATTAATTAAATAATAATTAAAAAATAATCGTACGTATAAATTAATTAAAACCTAAAGAAAACACTATTTCAGTAGAAGATATGACTCTCATCTATCCCTGATAGTTGAAATATGGCTCTTATCGTGGAAAGCTTTGATCATCTTCACATTCCACCGTGAAGATATACTCTTATCATCTTCATCCTAACTCTAAAACTCGAAATTCATGATCGAAACTTTGATTTTCGAAGTAATTACTTAATTTCGTCGATCGATATCGTTTTGCCTGACCAAATCTGCAAGTTTCCGATAAAACGTTCCCATGCAATTGTCCGTCAAGCTCTGAATGGAGCAGAATCGTTCCTACGATCTTGGCATAGTTGAACGTTCTTAATTTCGTCTCAGCTCGCGCATTACATTCGCCATTTTTCTCTCTGCGATATTAGATCAGCGAGAAGAAGACACTAATATCACGACGAATCGGTATGTGAATAAAATTTATTAGTCGACAGATATGCAGATTTTGGAAGTGCTTTCCTTCAAAAATTCCAGCAGCTCTCGTTCGAAAAATTCGACGAAGTAAATAGGAATATTAGAAATCTAATTTTCATTTAGAGATCTCTGTTAATTTACATTTTCTACAAGGTAAATTAATGAATAGGAAATCTAGTTTTTAGAAATACTACTTTCCTTAATAAAATCCAGCTTATGATAGTACTAATTTCCTTTAAAAATTCTACTAATTTAAGTTTTCAGCAAAGAAAATTGGAATATACTTAAACATAGATCTCATAATTAAATGGAATATGAAACTAACTTGTGACAAGTTAATTTAAAGATTTATGTATCTCTTCCAAATTACAGTATTCTACAGGCGCCATTGCGATGACTGCTGAAGACAAGTATTTCTGCTATTATTTATGGCTAAAATTTCAGAGCGATGAAAAATTAGCCAACCATTGAAACAGCGTGTACAAAATCTTGGGAGATTATACTAAATTCCAACATAACGCGTCCAAGCACCAAGGTAACCAATTCTTCACCAACTTAATCCTTCTTCCGAGACGAGAATCTACCAAAGGCGATCACGAACACGCTTTAATCCCAAATATTCTCCACAAAGACTAGTAGTCACGTTTCCCACAGCCACCTTTCCACGAACTTCGAGCGATCTTCGATTTAACGTAGAAACAACGTTGGTAGAAGCGTCTGGCCGTCTGCCAGCTTCCGGCAAGTTAACCACCGACCACGAGTTCCTATAGCGTCAATCTGGCCTTCATTCGTCACCATAGCGCAGCTGACACACGTTCCCGGTGAGTAAATATTTTTGTCGAATTATAAATTCGAAAATACCATATCGTGGCACGCGCTGGACACCGATTTTCCATTCGCGAGAGCTTTCGCTCTTCC